AGATCAGCAGATAGTAAGAGTAAAAATGACAGCACAGCCTGGTGCTAACGGCCAGGCCCTCTGGAGCAGGCCTGCCAGGGCTTGGCCATGGTCCCCATGTCCTAGCCAGGCCACCGGTACCTTACTGTGCCTGTTTCCTCACCTGGGGAGTGGGAATAATACGAACCACACCAGAGAGTCCTTATGAGACAGAACATTGTAAACAACTTGTTTACTATCAGCTAATGGCAGATTCATCTGAAAATAAAGTTACTGAAAAGTAAGGATTGTGTCTGCAAAAGACTGAAGATCTAAAATGCTTTCAAGAGCCTAAGAGGTACAGAACTCATTTTTTAAAAAAAAATATTTTATTGATTTTTTTTTACAAAGAGGAAGGGAAAGGAATAGAGAGTCAGAAACATTGATCAGCTGCCTCCTGCACAACCCCCACTAGGGATGTGCCCGCAACCAAGGTACATGCCCTTGAGCAGAATCAAACCTGGGATCTTTCAGTCCGCAGGCCGACGCTCTACCCACTGAGCCAAACCACTCAGGGCAGAATTCATTCTTTTTTTAGTTACAAAAATGTTTTACAATTGAACTAAAGAACAACAAAAAGCAAACAGCGCTGGACAACCTTGAAACAGATGTTGTCACCAACAACTCCTTCCTAGCTTGAGGTTCTTGAAAAAACAGGTGTAACCTCTCTCCCCGCTGTGCATCCCCAGCCTGCCTCCCTGTCGAATCCATCGCCAATGGACACTCCGATCGAAGAAGGAGAGAGGGTCTCGGGCCAGCAGCTGGGAAGCCGGGTTCTGCTTCATTCTTAAGTCCAGAGCGTGAACCAGCTTGCTATGGAGGAGGTTATTTCTATCTCCTGTGCGTTATTTGAGTTGATGATAACGTTTAGAGGGAATTGAGACGGCTTAAGGAAACCTTTATTTACCTACACCCGAAAGTAGCAGACGTCTGCTGAGTGGGGGACAGACCCCGAGGAACGGAAGTGCTGAGTTAGGGGCGGTCTGCAGGGCAGCGCCCAGGGAGTGGCCCTCCGCGCAGTCTCCTCGGAGGTCAGGGATAATGGCTCGGGAAAGAGAGATGCTGTTAAGGAAATGGAGTTTGCAAATGCTGATCTGTCCAGACCGATCGATCTCTATTAATACCAATCAAGAAGGATGATAGGAAAGAAGGCATAACCAAGAGCCTGAATCCAATCGAAAGACCGTCAGGTTCCATCCAGCCGTTCCTCAGCTGGGTCACCTCCCGTGGCACAGGTGCCCTTTGCACCTGTTATTCCCCGGGCTCCATAAAAGAAGGCGGCTAGCTTCCATCAGTGGGTTTTGAATTGTAAAACCTTTGGTTCGAATGAAAGCTGTTGCAGAAACCTGACATGCAGAAGGGTCAGCATGTGAATGAAGGGCGAGGGGCGGCAGCCGCTGTCCAGGGGTGCTGTCCAGTGGAATGGGAGTCCATCGCGTGTGTGCATTTGCATGACAGCACGTCAGTGGGAACCCCAACGGTGGTTTGGTTTGTGACGGAAAAGGATGCCAAGCGTTTTGGGATCCTTTGAGGCCGAGGGTGAAGACGTAGGGCCCAATCGATGGATCTGCAACAGCGAGAGGCACGCGCAGCCGCCGGAGGCTGTTCCCGAAGCCCGATCCTGTGTCTCTACGTCTATTCCCTTAAGAGGGGCTCTGCGGGAGATGGGCTCAGCTGACCAGCGGCGCCCTCGGGGTCAAGAACAGAGAGCGCATTAGTGAGAGGCCTGGCAGAGCGAGCGCGGCTGCAGAGTGTCTTCTCAGAACGATCTCTTAATCTGATTTACGCGTCGCTGGGGAGAAGCCCAGTGCTCCTCGGCCTGCCATTCCCGCTGGCCTCTGCAGAGCGCGCAGGAAGGGGAGGTAGCGGCCACGGAACCGGGGGTTCACTTTAAGGAGGCGGCAGATCCGTTTGCGATGTGCTCCTGAGAGTCCGCTTCTCCATGAAAGGAAAGGATTTGTCCCAAATCGTTCCCTCCCACGCTCCATCGCCAGTGTGCATGGAAGCACAGCCTCCCGCCCTCACCAGTTTGGCTCAGTGGATAGAGCGTCGGCCTGCGGACTGAAGGGTCCTGGGTTTGATTCCGGTCAAGGGCATGTACCTTGGTTGCAGGCACATCCCCAGTAAGGGGTGTGCAGGAGGCAGCTGATTGATGATTCTCTCTCATCGATGTTTCTAATTCTCTCTCCCCCTTCCTTCCTTTCTGTGAAAAATCAATAAAATATATTTAAAAAAGAAAGAAAGAAAGAAAGAAAGAAAGAAAGAAAGAAAGAAAGAAAGAAAGAAAAAAAGGAAAAGAAACATAGCCTCCCATGGGGGTCCTGGCTTCCACCTAATTTAACCCAAGTCAGCCCGAGATAGTCTCAAGTCTGTTTTCCCAGCTGCAGGAGACAGAGTCTCAGCTGCTGGAGAAAGTAAACCATGTGTTATCCCCCAAACCCCCGATAGAGCGTGAGAGGTCACGGAAGCTGAATGGCTACTAAGTCCAATGGGTCTGATACAACTCTCTCCCCAAACACCTTCGTTATCACAGGACCGTCTATAAGGCTTTTTCATGCATCCTTTTCAACTCATCTGCTTGGCTGATTTAGTCTTTGTTTTTCAATCACAGTTTACATGCAACATTATTCTGTATTAGTTTCAGGTGTGCTTAGACCAGTGGTCGGCAAACTCACTCATTAGTCCACAGAACCAAATATCAACAGGACAACGATGGAAGTTTCTTTAGAGAGCCAAATTTTTAAAAAAATATATATTTTATTGATTCTTTACAGAGAGGAAGGGAGAGAGATAGAGAGCTAGAAACGTCAATGAGAGAGAAACATCGACCAGCTGCCTCCTGCACAACCCCTATTGGGGATGTGCCCGCAACCAACGTACAGAGAGTCAAATTTTTATTTTATTTATTTATCTATCTATCTATCTATCTATTTACTTATTTATTTTTACATATTTTATTGATTTTTTTTTGCCCCCCTCCCTCCTTCCCACCCATCCCCTCCCTCCCCAGAGTTTTATGTCCATTGGTTGTGCTTATATGCATGTATAAAAGTCCTTCGGTTGATCTATTATCTCCCCCAGATCCTCCTCCCCTCCCCGCTGTAATTTGACAGTCTGCTTGTTGCTTTACTGTCTCTATATCTATCTTTTGGTTCATCAGTTTATAATGTTTTTTATTATCCACAAATGAGTGAGGTCATGTGGTGTTTCTCTTTCATTGATTGGCTCATTTCACTCAGCATGATGTTTTCCAATTCCATCCAGGTTGCTGCAAATGATGACAATTCCTTCTTTTTTATGGCAGCATAGTATTCCATTGCAGAGAGCCAAATTTTTTAAACTTAAACTATCTAGGTAGGTACATTGTTATTAACTTCATCAAGGTCCCCCTAAGCTGGCTTTTGCTAAAAACTCAAGGGGGCCAAAGAGCCCGCATGTTGCTCTCGAACCTCGGATTGCCCACCACTGGGTTAGACAATCCTGTACTTTACAAAGGGTTCCCCCCAGCTTGTCCGATTTCTTCGTGAAAAGCTTATTTCCTCCTGGATTCAAACATTTCCTCATAGAAACATGTCTCTACTTTGAAAGAAGAAGAAAAAGGCAACGGAGAAAAAAGCATTAGCTACAAAAATAGTCACTGGATAGTCTTTTAGGGAAGGGGAGAGAGGAACTAGCATTGCTGGGATCCACAGTGAGTGTCCAGGTGCCCGAAGCTTCCCCTTTTAGTCCGTGGGGAACCTGGGCTCTGGGGTGTCTGTGTTCCACGGCCACACGGTTTGAATTGGCCAGACTGCGTGTGAGACCTGGGCTCTTCCCAAGTACATTCCATGGTTTCCCTCCATGGAAGGGCCAGCGCCTGTAGACTGAGGCGTGTTTGTGATGTCGCTTCCTCCTCCAGGCAAGCAGCTAATGTGTGCCAGCTGGAGGTCCCCTGTGCCCGATCCCTTAGCCAAGGGGCTTTTGAGGCATCTGGAGTGAGTGAGGGCAGCAGATGGGCGGGTACAAAGAGTCATTCAATCCTTCGGTTCACGCATGTAGTTAACGGCTCCATGCTGGAGCCCGGGGGAAAAAGGAAAAATCAGTAACAACGATCCTGCCTTTATTGTCAGTGTTGGTATTTTGCTCATTATGGGGTGTTTTGCATTCATTTCATTTTGTTCAAAATATTGCATGAAAATTTCTTTTAAAAAAATATATTTTATTGATTTCTTTCAGAGAGGAAGGGAGAGGGATAGAGAGCTAGAAACATCTAAGAGAGAGACGTCAATCAGCCGCCTCCTGTACACCCTCTACCGGGAATGTGCCCGCAACCAATGCACATGCCCTTGACCGGAATCGAACCTGGGACCCTTCAGTCCTCAGACCGACGCTCTATCCACAGGCGGTTTTGGTGCATGAAAATATCTTGATATCCACGTGTTTTGGCAGCTCCTTTACATTTTTGCACCTGTGGCCAGGGCCTCCTTTGCCCCAGCCTGGTCCCGGCCCTGGCACATACTTTGATTGATGTGCCGGGCAACGAGCTATGTGCTGGAGACACAAGATACACAGGAGCTTTCAGACGAGAAAGAGTCAGTCATGTCTATAGTCACGGCTCAACATGACAAGTATAGGACAGAAAGTGTGATGGGGAAGGAGACTCTGTTGAGCCCAGGTGCCTGGGAAGATGAGGCTTGTGGACTGCCTGCACTTGGCCGGTGGACACAGAGCTGGGGGAAGGATGTAAGGGGAGTGTCGGGAAATGACAAGTCTCTTCATCGCCCGGAGCCTCGGTTTTCCTCATCCGTACAATGGAGGGATGGCAGCTCCTACTTCATAAGGTTGTTTGTTGTCAGGGCTAGAGAGAGCTCACTGGGTTAAGGGCCTCGAGTAGATTCTGGCACCTAACTTAATGTCCGTTAGCCGCGAGGGTGACTGTGCGCAAATGTCTTTAAACGATAGTATCTCTGGGTCACACACACAGTGTAAACTCTGCTTTGCAGACATCCACGACGGTGATGGGAGTTCCAGCAGCAGCCATCAGAACCCCAAGAGCACAGCCAAGTGGGCAGCCTCTCTGGAGAATCTGCTCGAAGACCCGGAAGGCGTGAAAAGATTTCGGGTTTGCCTTTTTTTTTTTTTTTTTTTTTAAATTGAGCTTTAGATGGGTGTGTGGGGAGGCACAGGCCCAGTCTTTAACACTGTCCCAACTCAAGAATAAGAACTTCTCAGCTGTCAATGCCAAGACGGAAAGTCATGGACCAGCAGCGAAGGCCATGCACAGAGCGAGTCTGGGTTTCATATAGCTGAGTGGGAGGGGGTGGGACAATGGGGAAGACATACCATGTTCATTGAGAGGATCTACAAAGAATGCCCAGCTCGGTGATGCCTGGGAGGGGAGGGGGGGCATCTCTCTGAGCAGAAGGGTTGTTCTTTTGTGTGTTGGGGCTATTAACCAGGCGAGACAGGCAAGACAACAGCTGGCCAAGTGAAGTTGAACTTCAAGAGGAAGCTGATGGATGGAGAAGCATCAGAGCTGCCTAGAAATAACTTTTTTTTGGCCAGCAGTAACCCCAGGTGTCAGAAGAAGATGGTGTGAATTTGAAGAATTCCCTGTATCTGCCCGAGTTCCACCAAAGTGTGTCCTTCAATCTGGGGTCTTAGGAGGGGGGAGGCAGGCAGGACTACCAATATTCCTGGACACCAGGCCACTGTGAACTTTGGTCTAGATCTCATGGAGGACACTTTTCTGTGTCACTAATCCCTAATGTCTGCCAGAAGAGAAATGTACACACCTCCAACTTAAAATAGTTTTCACCATGACATTTTTTTGGACATGCTTAATATATTTTCTTTTGTTTTGTTTAAAAAATGGGCCTGATTTTAGAGGAATGTACTTTGTTTAAACATTGTCTGGAAGGAACCAATATATCTTCCGCTTCAATTTACTTTCTGGTAATTTACTGTTAGCTTAGACTTGTGGAGAGGGCCTTGCTTCGTTTTCACTCTTCCCCACAATGTCAAAACCATTCCGTCCAAACGCACATGGAACTCTAGCTCTTACGTTAAACAAGAGCTTTGTTTTTCAGGGTGGACTTTTCATGCTCACGTTTTGGATTTTACCCGATCGGTGCTTGAAGGGAAATGTTCGTTTTGTTTTTTTAAAGTAGAATACTGTTTTATGCATTTTTTTCTCTCTCTCTATCCATAGGAGTTTTTAAAAAAGGAATTCAGTGAAGAAAATGTTTTATTTTGGTTAGCCTGCGAAGATTTTAAGAAAACACAAGATAAGAAGCAGGTATTTCTTCCACTTTGTCTTTATGCTTTTCTCTGTCGTTTATAAACTCACAGCTGCCTTTCCCTATAGAATGTGACATTGCCTAAAGACATCTGATCCACACTGGGTTAGGGGGGAAGATTTAAGCTCCAGATGAGGTATCCTGTGTTGCTCAAATATTCATAAATTGAAAAAGAGGGCGTCGATCCTTGCTTAAATGGAGCTGTGCAAATGGACAAATATTTAAAGTAAAAGTAACGATTTGTCACTTAAAGCTCATCACTGCGTACGGTTTTTTTCCTCCGGGAATAAGTTATGGGGATGCTCCCCTGCGTTCGGCATGTCGGTGTTTTGTACAGACGTAGTAACGTGACAGGCAGAGGGGGCAGTGAGAGCAGGGCGCCTTGGACGGATCGTCAATTATTCACTCCGTCTTCATGAAACATCCGGTAGTTGGCAGGCATCCCGCATGAAACGTGTCTGGCTGTCCTCCTGGGGAGTCATGTGCTCTTTGCAGGCCACAGCCTTTCATTCTAATGTCAGCCGGCGTGTTTACCAGGGAAGGTTGGGTTAAGGGGAGCTGGAGGGGATTGTGGGGAAGGAGGTCTGTGGAGTGGGGGTGTTGACGAGGCCTGTGACTGTGAATTTCTCTTTTTTCTTTTTCTTTTTGACTGTGCGTTTCTAAAAGGCTATCAGCTAAGTGCTTCCAGGGTCCAGAAAGTAATGTCCGTGAGTGAGGCTTTAGGGAGTGGTGGGACGGGGCCGTCAGGGGGCAGCTGGCTCCTGGGCTTTCCCTGCTTCCAGTTCTGCCCACGTGGGTCTTCACATGCCCACCCTTGCTCCCTGAAACCCGAGGGACCTTCCTTCCCAAGGCCTTTCTCTCGTCTTCAGCCCAGGGCTGCCTCTTTCTCCAGAGAAGCTAAACATTTGGAATTTGATGTGAACCAGCCGATATTGCAGAATTAAAAAAAAAAAATGGTGAAACCGTGCCTGCCAAGCACAGCACATCTGTGGGCAGATGTGGCCTGTGGGCTGCCAACTACTCACGTCTGTCTCCAAACGCTGGGCTCCAGCAGCCATCACGTGTGTGCAGGCCACAGCCTGGGAAACGTCCACTGGCTTATTCCGAGGCTCTTCCAGACTCAGACACGCTTTCCCCAGGATGGAGTGGGCGGCCTTCCTCTCTGCAGGGGCGAGGACGGGCTCTGAGGTAGGGCCCCTGGAGCCTGATGTCCTGAGTCGGTCTACAAAGCCGTCCAGGACGTGGCCATTGGCAGGTGCTTCTATCGGCTCCTTCTCTCCCCTGGAGGACTTTGCCTGAGCCTCCTGGGCGGTGAATGAGCAGGAGAGAGGGCCTGCTTCGGAAAGCTAGGGTGCTGGCTGCAGCCTTTCAGGCAGGAGTGCCCTTGGCCCCCGGGACAGGGCCCCGGGACAACCTCCCATAAGTGCTGGATGGTGCCGCTGGTTTGCCCAGCATCACCTGAAACCCCAGCTCAGAGTCAAGCTGGGGTGCAGATGTCCACCCCTTTGCCTGCTCTTTCTGTGCTGGAGGGGAGAGGGGCTTGGAGGTTGGCCAGCCCACCCATCACTGGACACACCGAAAGCTAGGCTCCTCCTTGGCCAACCTGGGACTTGGACCAGCGCCCCGAGGGCCCCCCGTCATTTCCCTTGCAGACCATGCTGGTGTGTCCCTCAGTTCAGCTGAGCTCACCGATCTTTGCGGAGTGCCTGCTCAGGGCCAGGGACACGCGGGGACCAGGCAGATGAGTTTCACGGGGAACAGGCGTGGGGAAGGGAAGCCACTGGCTACGCCTCTGCCAGGGAGGCTGGAAAGGGAAGTGCGGGTTTGGGGAGCACAGGCCACGGGCCATCTGGAAAGCCCCCAGGGGAAGTGACTTTTCAGCCACCAGGACATGGAAGTGGCGTTTGGGGGTGGGGCCGTATTCCTGAAGGAGGGGGCAGCATGAGGAGAGGAATTCCTGGAGTGGAGAGAGAAGGTAGACCAGGTGGCTGAGGGCCATGCTCTGCTGAGCTCTTCTGCCTGGCTCTGCCGCTCTGGAGGCTGGTGGGTAGGTGGGGCACACCTGGAGAACCTGGGCTCACGGGAAAGCCATGTGGTAGGCTGCATTAGCCCACCCGCATCCCACAGACAGAGCTTCCAGAATCCGGCAGCCCCTCGCTGCCCCCTCCCCGACCCCCCAGACTATGACCCCTTGAAGGTTTGTGTCCTTCCGCTTGGAATGTGCCTGGCGGTGGCTCCCGTGCAGGGACTGCCGCCTCGCTGTCCGTCGGGGCCTGAGGAGGCGGGGGTTCGGGAGGGGGCGCCCCCAGGCGCCCACACCTGCCTGCAGGAGCCTCAGGGCGGCGCCCATCCTGCCAGGGCTGTGGCTGAAGGTGCTGGCAGCTTGCCCAGGCCGCCCCGGGGACAGAGCCAGGATGCAGGCCAGTCTCCGTCCCAGGGCCTGGGAAGTGCTGGGGGGCTGGCCGCAGGGGAAGTAAAACCTCCAGTAAGCTGGAAGTCACTCATTTAGAAACGCGGAGGAGGCCACCAGCGCGGGGAGAAGTCGGCCCAGCTGAGTTTCACAACCAGACTCACGGCATCTGGAGTTCGGCGAGGGTTCACCCTCACCGTGCACGAAGGCAGCTGTGGGATCAGGGCACCTCACTGTTGCCCCCATTACTTAATGGGACCCGTACTGGTTTGTTGTTCGTTCTCTTAGCTGGTTTATCCAGCTCTCTCCTGAGCACTTACTGATTTATCTGGTCTGTTGTATAATTCCTTTGTAAAATAAATAAATAAATAAATAAATAAATAAATAATAATATATATATATATATATTATTGATTTTTTTTTTTACAGAGAGGAAGGGAGAGGGATAGAGAGTTTGAAACATCGGTGAGAGAGAAACATCAATCGGCTGCCTCCTGCACACCCCCTACTGGAAATGTGCCCACAACCAAAATACATGCCCTTGACCGGAATCGAACCTGGGACCCTTGAATCCGCAGGCCGACGCTCTATCCACTGAACCAAACCGGTTAGGGCTCTTGTATAATTTCTTTATTCATCTTCTGATGGTTGGCTTCCCCGCTGCCATGCCGGCTCCATAGGGTTTGAGATCTTTGCCTGTCTTCTCCCCAGTGTGTCCATGTGTCTGAGCCAGTGCCAGGCACATGTGGCTCCCAGTTCTTTCCACTCAGGTCAGACGGCACCTGAGGACCCACCTGGCTGGGGAGCTAGCCTCCCTCCCTCTCACTCTGAGCTGCTCTTGGACTTGAGGGTTGAACGTGAGTCCATGCTGCTGGGCTCATACGCTCAGAGGCTCCAAACAGGGGGAGCTGTGTCTCCACCGTCCTCCCGGGCCTGTGATCCGCCCCCTGACAGGCAGGAAGCAGCCCCTTGGTTTGGGCGGTCTTGATCTCTGCCTTTATGGTGGGGGTGCTGGGGCTGTGAGGGTGATGCCCCTTACCCTACCCCCGCCTTGGAGCTCCTGGGGTGGTATCCCTCCTAGGTGTTCAGCCAGCAGCATGCAACACAGCTCCCTCCCTGTGCCCTTTCTCTGTGGTTTAACATTTTTCTGTCCAGCGCCTCTTCCCTGTGAATTAGCATGTGAGCTGCATCTATCTGCTACAACAAGGCAGCATTTATATTTTCAAAACCTCAGAAGGAAACTCCCAACAAGGTGTTCATTCTTCGGCTACTCCTGAATTCACTCACTCACTCACTCCTCAGCATGTGTCTTCATTGCTGTTAGGAATCAGCATTTCTATGGGAGCGAATTTGTTTTCTTTGGGCCAGTGTAGAAGAGGGAAATGGACATGGCAGCCTGTACAGATTTGTAAAAACCAAACTGAGAGTGGGGGAGGAGGGGGACCACGTGGTGGGGTGGGACAAGGTTTCTCCTAATCAGAGCTCTGAGAGCGGCCTGCACTGGCACGGGATACGCTATCTTTATTTATTTTATATTGTAAGACGTCTTCAGGAACAACTAGGTTGTTCATTCCTCTTTGCCCTCTTCGCTGGTTTCCTGGACACAGTTCACCTGATCCCGGACACTGTCTTGCAAGTGTTGGGCTTTCTCTCTCGGCTGGCTTATGCTTTGACGTCTTGAGAACAATTATCCACTTCAGGCGAAGGAGCACTCCAACACCAGCCGACGTCCGTCTCACGGACAGCTTTCGCACACGGGCTGCCGGAGCCCGCATTGACTATATCCTTTAGGGTTAACAGAGGGAGGGGGGAGTCTGTCGTATTCATTGTTTTCATTGTAGCTTACTTAACACTAAAACTGGATCCTGGATTTTGGAGTGCTTGATATTCTTTTTAAAAAAAAAAATATTTTATTGATTTTTTACAGAGAGGAAGGGAGAGGGAGAGAAGGTTAGAAACATCAATGAGAGAGAAACATCAATCAGCTGCCTTTTGCACACCCCCTACTGGGGATGTGCCCGCAACCAAGGTATATGGCCTGGGACCCTTGAGTTCTCAGTCCAGCGCTCTATCCACTGAGCCAAATCGGTTTTGGCATTGATATTCTTTTTTTAAAAAAATATATTTTATTGATATTTTACAGAGAGGAAGGGAGAGGGATAGAGAGCTAGAAACATCGTTGAGAGAGATACATCGACCAGCTGCCTCTTGCACACCCCCTACTGGGGATGTGCCCGCAACCAATGTACATGCCCTTGACCGGAATCGAACCTGGGACCTTTCAGTCCGCAGACTGACGCTCTACCACTGAGCCAAACCGGTTTTGGCGGCATCGATATTCTTATTTAAAGTAATGGTAAAGGTATTTGAAATAAAAGAAATAAAATAATAAGAAATAAAAGTATTTGAAAATTCCCAAAGTGACCTGTGCAGCCTCAGGGGAAATCCGTCCATTCACGGCGGGCGCCGCTGGAAGGGCCAGCACTTGCTCCCCCGCCAGTTCGGGCTGGCTCTCTGCAGCCTCTTTCTTCCCAGCGGACTCGGCCGGGTCCGGGCGGGACTGACCGGAGCCCAGCGGCTCCCCGTGTGGCCTGGGGCCTGCCCAGGGCCTCCGTCCCGTCCCTTCCCTCCCCGCTCACGTCTCATTCTCAGATGTTACCCGCCACTTCCTCTCCCTCTCGCCGAGGTTTCACTCACTCACATCCTGCCTGCTGCGTGTTCATTACGGACACATTTACTGTCTGTTGTTTGCTGCTGAGCCCAAGAGGACGCTACAGCGCACATTTTTCTTCTTTGCACCATTCCCTGCTTTTCTTTTCAGAGTCCTTTAAAGTGCTTCTCGATGCGATAAAATGCTCGGGCGCAGGCCTCTTGGCTCATCGCTGCAGCCCGGGTTCCCCTGGGGACAGTCCCCCGGGCCTCGGACCTCAGCTCCCGGGTCTTCCCCGGCCTCCGCTGGCCGTGCCCTCTGCCCTCTGCCCTCTGCTGCTCTGTCCTGAGTCCCTGGCTCATCGCCGGGGGGCACGGACAGCAATCGCCTCCCGGGGAAGGGGTCCCGGCAGGCGGACCTGGAAAGATCTTGCTGAATGAAAACGTGATCCTCCTCCCCCCGGCTCTCCCACTTCATTAATAATCTGACCGAGCGCGGAACGGAATGAGGTCTGGGCTGAAACGCACTGGTTGTTCCGTTGTCTTCACTGCTGTTGAGCGTCAGGCTTTCAGATGGGAGCTGACTTGTTTTCTTTGTTTTGTTTTTCTTTTCTCCCCGAAATAGCACAGGCTCTCCTTTTCGCCACCGGCGTCCCAGAGCTGTGCCGAGTGAGGCATCGGGAGGGGTGGGCTCGCTCCCCGTGTCGGCATTTTACGGGAACCTTTCATCCGGACACGATGGATGGCTCTGGACAGTGTTCCTAGGTTATTGTCTTTATGTTTTCATCTCTTTGGCTTTTGGTTCCTACATTTCTCTGGAGCTTTCCACTGTATCTTCAAATCCTTCTGTGGAGATTTCTCACGCATTTTTGTTTATTTTTCTCTAGACCCTCCGGTCTCTTTCTGGAGGCCACAAGCCCGAGGTTATGTTTCTGAAGGAAACACACCTCCCATCAGCTGGGCTGGGAGGCGGTTGCTAAGGGGTGTGCATGCGGGATTTCACTCCACCCCTCCGTCCGTCTGTCTGTCCGTCCATGGGCTTCTCCTCCTTGCCCTCCTTCATGCCCTGGTCAGTTCCTTAGGGAAGACAACTCCGGGTGGGGGGAGGGAGAAGGGGAGAGGGAGGGAGATGATCACGGGGTGCTCAGAGTTGGGGGTCTAACGGCCTCTTCCTGCTGCTGCCCTCCTCATCCCTCCGCCTGGGTCGCCCGCTGCCTGCCCGCGTTTGGACGGTTCTTGCTGGCTCTGTCCTCCCCGCCCCTGGGCATGTCCCCCATCCCCACCCCAGGTGCTGAGGTTTGTTCTCTCTGCAGGGGAACCGTTCTGCCCCTCCATCCCTCCATGCTCTCCATTTCCCAAGCCGGTTCCCGGAAAGACTCTCCAGTCACTTACTTGCTATTTCCTTGCCTCACTCTCTGTCTGAAGTCGATATTAATGAGGGCAGCGGCTTGCCCCTTTAGTGTTCTGACACGGCCTCTCCCGTTGGAACAGCCGGTGAGAGAGGCAGGAAGTGGCCGTCAGGAGGGAGATGTAGGGGATCTGGGTCCCCAGCTTCCTGGAGGAGCGGCTGCAGGGTCCCCGGCGGGGGGACCACCCTGTCCTTGATGTCACGGTGTCTGCGGACGTCCAAGGCCGCGTTTCTAGAGATCAGCTGGCAGCTTAGGTGAGGGCGGGGCTGAGATCTTGGGAGAGCACGTGATTAGGAAAGCAGCTGGCCTAGGACAGAAGTCTGGGGAACCCAGAATTTATGGGGGTCGGGGGGTGAGGGACAGAGGGGTGTTGGAGAATCCTGAGAGGGCCTGGGCGCGGGGCCAGGGCCCAGGGACCGTTCCAGAGGCACAACTGAGGGACTTGGCTCCGTGGCCCTCTGTGAGCCAGTGGGAGGGAGGCGGTGGGGGGCGGTGGGAGGCGATGGGAGCCTGAAGGAGGCGGTGGGGGGCGGTGGGGATGGTGGGGAGCCTGTGGGAGCCAGTGGGAGCCAGTGGGAGGCGGTGGGAGGCGGTGGGAGGCAGTGGGAGTGCGGCCGGGCTGGCCCTGCACCCTTAGCCGTGGTGATGCTCCCATAGAAAGCTGGGGGCTGGAGGCCATTAGCTACAGGAGGGTGTGAGTGAAAGGAAAGGTTTTATTTTCCCGGTGGGAAACGTTTCGGCTCGCTTCCTGGGTGAGGGCGAGGAACCAGACACACAAGGCCATGCTCTTCGGGGCGTGGGGGTTGCAGGGGGCTGTGCCTTGGCGCTCCTGGAGGAGGGGACTGCTTGCTGATGGAGGGAACTCGCTTCTCCTGCGTGTGCAGTATGCACTGTGCTGTGGGGGCAGAAGCTGCCGGGCACCTGGGCACCCGGGCACCCGGGCGGATGCCCGCGGGAGGAGCCCAGGCTCATGGGGTGTCTGGAGGAGCTCCCCTGGGTGCGAAGCCCCCACAGGCGGTCCTCACACCGGGAGTCCTTGCATGGCCCCACAGGGTCCTTTTCCAGCACCACAGAGGGCAGGAGAGAAGGGCCATCCTCCGGTCACCCCCGGGGTCACAGGCCTGGGCCCCCGCCAGTGGGCCCCCACAGAAGCCAGAGGGGGCTGGCAGGCTGTGGGCCCCCCGGAACATGCCGGAGAGCAGGGTCCTCTCGGGCGCTGTGGGGGACGGGCCCCGTGACTGGCCTGCGGTCTCCGCGTCAGGGTTTCCCTTCCCGGTCACGCTTCCTCCCGGCGATAAGCTCAGCTGACGCGTGTGAGGCCCGGATGGTGCCGGGGACCCACAGACACTGGGAGGGCGGCTGGGGGTGTGCAGGGGTGAGAGCAGGTCCCCCTGAGCCTGCTTCCTCCCCTCCCGGCCCCCCACACCCCTCCTTTCCGCCCCCAGCTACCGATCATCCTCGTGTTTTCAGAGCCACCCAGTCAGCCTGGCTCCCCTGGAAGCGTGTGTGTGTGTGTGTGTGTGTGTATGTATATGTGTGTGTATGTATGTATGTCTCTCTGTGTGTGTGTGTGAGTGTGTGTGTATGTATATGTGTGTATGTATGTATGTCTCTCTCTGTGTGTATGTATGTGTGTGAGTGTGTGTGTATGTATATGTGTGTATATGTATGTCTCTCTGTGTGTATGTGTGTGTGAGTGTGTGAGTGTGTGTATGTATGTGTGTATGTATGTCTCTCTATGTGTATGTGTGTGTGTGTGAGTGTGTATGTATGTATATGTGTGTATATGTATGTCTCTCTGTGTGTATGTGTGTGTGAGTGTGTGAGTGTGTGTATGTATGTGTGTATGTATGTCTCTCTATGTGTATGTGTGTGTATGTGTGTGTGTGAGTGTGTATGTATGTATATGTGTGTATATGTATGTCTCTCTGTGTGTATGTGTGTGTGTGAGTGTGTGAGTGTGTGAGTGTGTGTATGTATATGTGTGTATGTATGTCTCTCTATGTGTGTGTATGTATGTGTGTGTGTGAGTGTGTGTGTATGTGTGTATGTGTGTGTGAGTGTGTGTGAGTGTGTGTGTGTGTATGTATGTGTGTGTGAGTGTGTGTGTGAGTGTGTGTGTGTGTGAGTGTGTGTGTGTTTGTGTGTGTGTGTGTGTGTGAGTGTGTGTGTGTGTGTATGTATATGTGTGTATATGTATGTCTCTCTGTGTGTATGTGTGTGTGTGTATGAGTGTGTGTGTGTGTATGTATATGTGTGTATGTATGTATGTCTCTCTGTGTGTGTATGTATGTGTGTGTGTGAGTGTGTGTGAGTGTGTGTGTGTGTGTGTGAGTGTGTGTGTATGTGTGTGTGTGTGTGAAGGGGGGAGGGGGCTGTTCGAGGGGGAAGGGGCTGAAGTGGGCTGTTCCTCTGACCGGCTGGCACTTTCAGGAAGTGGGAAACAGCAGTGTTTCCCCAAAACTCTCCTTCCTGGGAGAAGGGGGCCGAGGGAGGGAGGCTGGCGGCTCACTGGAGGGTGTGTGTCTTTGAGAGGCAAACAGCCCCAAGGTGCTGCCCGGCCCGGCCCTGGATCTGGACCGTGGGCCCGCTGTGTCCGGGGCCCAGCCGCACGGGGCTGTCTCTGTGGATCCGCTTGTTCCGGTGCTTCAGGTGAACGGGATCACACCGTAGGTGCCTTCCGTGGCCGGTTTCTTGCCGTCAGCATCACGTTTCACGGTCACCTGCGCTGGGCACGCGCCAGGCTTCCTTCCTTGTTGGGCCTGAACAAGGTTCCCAGAGTCCTTTATTTTTTTCCTCCTCTCTTTTAATTAAGTTGATTGGGGTGACATTGGTTAATATGACCATCTGGGTGTCAGGGGTGGGTTTCTGTGTTCCCAGATCTGTCGATCGCACTGTGTGCCCTCCATCCCAAGCCAGACCGTCCCCGTCACCCTGTCTCCGGTCCCCCGTCCCCTCCCTCCCGGCCTGGAGTCCTTCATTTGGGGAGTTCACAGGCCTCCCTGAGTGGCACCAAATGGCACCCCTGTGGGCCTGGATGCGTCCCGTCATCGTTTCCTGGTGGGGGTGGAGCTGTGCCGGGACAGAGATGGGGCAGCGAGCAGAGCCCAGGGCCGGGCCGGAGGGAGGGCGGGCTCAGGCCGGGGCGGGTGAGCTCACCGGGAACAGCTGTGTGTGTCGCCCGCAGATGCAGGAAAAGGCCAAGGAGATCTACTCGACCTTCCTGTCCAGCAAGGCCTCGTCGCAAGTCAACGTGGAGGGGCAGTCCCGGCTCAACGAGAAGATCCTGGAGGAGCCGCACCCCCTCATGTTCCAGAAGCTCCAGGACCAGGTACTGACCTCCCGGCCGGCGCTGGGTCCCCCGAGCCGGGCACAGGGAGGGGGGAGTCGGGGCTGGCAAAGCAGAGGGCCTCCAGGTTTACCCCCCAAGCGGCTCCCCCACGCCGGCGTGCTCCCGGCCCGCCCACGGTGTGCTCCCTGTCTGCGCACGGCCTGCTCCCAGCCCGCACACGCGTGCTCCGGGTCTGCACACGGCGTGTTCTCGGCCCACGCACGTGTGCTCCCGGCCGCCTGCACACGGCGTGCTCCCGGTCTGCACACAGTGTGAACGGGCAGGGTTATCTGTCTTCTCAACGCAGACCGGGAGGGAGGCGGGGGCTGCTGGAGGCATCCACCCTGAGGAAGCACCCTGTGATACCCGAGGAAGGGAGGAGCAGGCTGAACATTCTAGAAAGCGAGCACGAAGACTCAAAGTGCCCGGGAGCCTGGGGCGGTTTTTGGGTGCAAATGCCCAAACACCATCGCCTGTGTCTGGTAGCCCAATACCGTGAGCGCCTTCCTCTGAGGCCCTGCGTCATAATGAAGTGTTACCATCTGGCAGCACGCATGTCCACGTAATGCAGGAACAATTAGGTTTAAAGGGACCTAGCAGGGGTGAGTTGGTTTTCTGGAAAATTCTCCTGTGAGGAATGGCCATGGTCACGGGCAGAGGGGTGAAGGGGCACCAGGGGTTCTCACAGACACGGGCTGGCAGGGGTGGCTTGTGAAACGTCACACACACCTGTCGTCAGGGGGCACAGGTTTCTGACTTCTCCAGGCCCTGATCTTACTGAGGACGTGAAGCCTCACGTGGCACACAGGTGGGGGCTGCTTTTAGCTTCACTCAGCCGTCCTCCGTCTGCGCACCCAGAGCCACCGGGAGGGCTGGTTAAAGCAGACGCCGGGCCCTATTGCTCGCGCGATCTGTTTCAATGTGATGCTCCCAGGCGGGAGGAGACGCTGCCCTCCCAGCAAGGTCCCGGTGATGCGGTGCTGCCCGCCCCGGGACTGCACTCTGAGGACCGCCGGTCCACCCCGCGGGCTGGCCTTCCCATAAGTGAGCACAGAGCCGTAACGTGCACGCCCAGCATCCCTCCGATAGGAAACACACGCTCGGGAGGAAACACAAACACAGGAGGCAGCTGCAGGGTGTTTTCCAATTGACACAGGGGCACGTGCAAACCCCTCTGGGTTCTGAATCAGACGTGGGTGCTGAAGGGACCCCGTGCGCCCGGGAGACGTGCTGAGGGCCTCCTGGAGGTGGTGATGTTGAGTCAGTGGAAAGGACGCCAGGCAGACGGGCTTGTGGAGGGAAAGGAAGTGGAACGTATGACCCGCAGGCAATTCTCTTGTGGCTCTGGCTGCACGAGGATGTCTGCCCCACCGGGCCTCGGTCTTTTCAAGGTTTCCTACTGTATTTCCTACTGTATTTCCACAAATCACAACATCTGCCGTTCCGATACTGTGCCTGGTGCCACGGGGCGTGCTGCGCCCACGGCATCGCCGTGATGGAAGAAGCAGGTTCAGGGGTGCCAAATGGCTTCTGGGCACAAAGTCACACCTGCTTCCCAGGCCGCCCTCTGCCACAGTCAGGGGCAGCCTGTGGCCGCTGCTCACAGCCCAGGAGGCCAGTGGAGCAGAGGCCTGGGAAGGCCGTGTCGGGTCAGGCCCCCTTCCTGGCTGCGGACCCCCAGGCAGGAACAGGGAGTGAGACGGGCTGATGCCCCTCTATGCAGTGGGAACTCCGCTCTGGGGGACCCAGCCACACCCACTAGAGTCAGACATGGGGAGCTTTGCTGGCTCAGAAAGGAGGAGCACAAGGGACAGGAAGATCTAAGTGATGAAAAAAAATATTTAAAAAATAACTTTTATCTATCCAACTATGAAAGTCATACGTGCTCAACAACCACAACAAAGAATCATCCTTCCAAACCTGGACAGGACCCTAAGGAGCATCGGGTCGCTAGACTTCCGTCCTTCTTCCTACAAATGCATGCAATGCACACGTATCACAAATGCAGCACAACTCTTTTAGTTCCAACCATCCTATGTAATAAAGGCCCAGGTGGCACGACACCCTTGCGCGACGCCATCACAACATGGCCACCACAAGACGGCCATGTGCACAGCGGAGGTGGGGCCCGGCAGCGGCTCTGCACAGTGAGACCTGGGAGTTCCATGGCTCTGTGCAGCGCGGGGGAGTCCGGTCCTGGCAGAGGAGGCAGGTCTTGGCAGGGGAGGGCAGTTGTGATTTTTAGGGAGAGTGGAAGAGAGAGGGAAGGACAGAGCGAAACATGGATGTGAGAGAAACACATCCATTGGTTGCCTCCTGCACGAGCCCTGACCAAGGCCCAGGCGTGGGAGGAGCCTGCAACCGAGGTACCTGCCCCTTGACCAGAATCGAACCCAGGACCCTTTGGTCCGCAGACCGACGCTCTATCCACTGAGCCAAACTGGCTAGGGCCATTCAGCCATTAAAAAAAAAAAAATATATATATATATATATATATATTTTATTGATTTTACACAGAGAGGAATTGAGAGGGACAGAGAGTTAGAAACATTGAGAGAGAAACATCGACCAGCTGCCTCTTGCACACCCGCCACTGGGGATGTGCCTGCAACCAAGGTACATGCCCTTGACCGGAATAGAACCCGGGACCTTTCAGTCCGCAGGCCGACACTCTATCCACTGAGCCAAACCGGTCCTGGCCATTCAGCCATTTTTAACACAAAAACCGAACTCGGTTCCTGCAGCAGATACGAAGCCCCGTTAATAAAACGTGCACGTACAGATGGACGGTCCCCGCCCTGTACCCCGTGCCCTTGTCGGCTGAGAGCGGCAGGAGATTATTAGGCTGGAAAGCTCTTCATTGGGGCCGCGTGGAAGTCTTCCCCGAGGCGCCTTCAGACCGGGAAAGCTTGCTCTGTGTGGACGCGGAGGGTTCAGGGAGCGAGTCCCTGTCTGCAGCGGCAGACCGGGCATTCTCACGTTGGGGCACTCTCACGGAGGGAAAGACAGATGCCAGCCAGTCCCCCTGGGAGGGGCCCGGGGAGGGAGGGCGCCTGGCCGGGCAGTGACCCTGAGCTGTGGGGCCTTGTGCGTGGCCGCACGTGGGCAGAGGCCCACCCCCAGCCGCCGGCAGGATCGCCTCCCCCGGCAGCCACGCCAGACAGCTCCCAGTCCGGGCACGCAGCTCACAGACGTGGGGCTGCCAGAACCCGAAACCTGCTGAGCCACAGCCGACTCGGGGGTGGGGGGGGAGAGGTTCGGAATGCCATTCAGCTGCCAATGTGCCTTTTCTGCCTCCCCGGCTGCCTGTGCCCGGCAGGCGGACCGCTCCCTCGCTCTGCCGGCCGCCCCGCCCGCCTCACGCCCGTCCCAGGTGTGGTGCCACGTTTTCTCTGCCCCACAGACTGCCTGGCGCGTGTTGGTCAGGTGCTGGTCCCTGCCCAGGCCCACGGAGGCCCGTTCTCCCCATCAGAGCGTCCTGGTTTTACAGAACCTTCTAGAAGCCTGAGGGCGGCCTCGTTTTCTGTGCTCACTCAGGAGGGAGGGGAAATCAGTAATTCAGGTTCCAAGGGCTGTCATAACAAATTGTCACGACCTGAGTTGCTTAAAGCAGAAATTTACTCTCACGGCTCACGAGGCCAGAAGGGCGTAATCAAGTTGTCAGGAGGTCTGCAAGCTTTCAGAAGGCTCAAGGGAAAACTCCTAAAAAACTAAAATTATATATATATATATATATATATATATATATATATATGTTTTTATTTTAAATAAAATATAAACATATATATGTTTTAAAAACACATATATATGTTTTTATTTTTAAAAAATATATTTGTATTGATTTCAGATAGGAAGGGAGAGGGGGAGAGAGAGAGAAACATCAATGATGAGAGTCATTGATTGACTGGCTGCCTCCTACACGCCCCCCACTGAGGACTGAGCCCACAACCTGGACATGTGCCCTGAGTGGGAATGGAACCATGACCCCATTCATATGTTGAAGCCCTAAGCCCAGGCACCTCTGAACGTGCCTGTGTTTGGAGCGAGGGTCTAACGAGGAGATTATTTAAGGTTAAACGAGGTCACTGGGGGTGGGCTCCGACATGTGCAACTGGTCACCCGGGGCCCTTACAAGTAGAGGCGATTGGGACAGACACAGCGAGGAGAGGCCCTGTGCAGACATGGGGGGGGGGGGGCGCCACACAGCCATCTACAGGCCAGAGAGAGAGGACTCAGAGGAACCCACCCGGCCGACTCCTTGACCTTGGACTTCCAGCCTCCAGACTGTGAGCAAAGACATCCCTGTTGTTTAACAGCCACCCCCCCACCCCCCTGTCTGTGGGACTTGTTAAGGCCGCCCAAGCAGACGAATAAGCCAGCCACTGGGCAAAGCATCGAGCCGCTCAGGCCCTGTTCCTTCCCCCATGCGATCGGGGTTCTCACGGGGTTTGGCGAGGTCACATGAGCACCAGCTCTGCCTGGTGCTGGCTGGAAGGCGCTCGGTGCACCGGCACTGCCCGAGTCACTTGGCCGGCCTGGGTGCGTGCTGGGCGGCGTCTGCTCATTCGCCGGGGGGGACAGTTAGCGGGCCACGCTCACGCCACCTGCCCTGGGGTCAGGGCTGTGGGCCACAGATGGTTACACCTTCTTGGGGGAGACTTTCAGTGTGTTCTCTCTCTGCGCCGTCTTTGCTCAGCTCCACCCTCCATGGACTGTGTGATCGGAGGGCCCTAGGGCCCTGTGGTCCGCGGCCGGTGCCAGAGGGCCTGTGGCAGTGCCAGGGAAGGCCCTGTGCAGAGATGCCAGGCGGCTCACGGCCTCGGAAAATGGCCATGGGGATGGCATCTCCTCTTTCACATCCGTCCGGCCTCACGGCTGCAGCTGCCCCGGCGAACACAGCGCCAGGAGGCGGCCAGGGTCCCGGAGAGGAGGCCCCAGCCCGTGGGACTTCCCGGGCAGTCACCCCGCCCATGGCAGTGTGGCCCTTGTGCCCTTGTTACCGAGCTCCCGGCCCCTGCCCTCGGCTCGCTGAGGGCGCCTGGGCCTCAGGCTCTGCTGGAGGCGGAAGGCGTCTGCCAGGCGCTGAGCAGCCGGAGCCCTCCCTCTGCCGATGCCGCCCCCTCGCCCGCCCTCCCACCTCCCCGGCCCGGGTGCCTCCAGCCCCTGCCTTTCTCCTCTCCTCTTTGAAGTGTGAGCCTCCCAGCCACGACAGGCAAACAGGATGCTCCCCTCCCACACGCACAACTTCAGACGGACGCTGGTCGGAACCGCATCCTGCAGGCAGTGGGGGTCCCATCTGCCCCGACCTGGTGTGGGGGGGACACAGGGCTGGGTGCGGGGTGGTGGTGGTGGGGTGGTCTCGCAGGGGGGCTGGCTGCCTTAGTCACTCTGAGCACCGGGTTCAGACTTGGAGCTAGTGCTTCTCAGAGTTCCCGTGGGGCTCTCAGGCCTGCAGGGCTGGACCAGGCAGGGGGTTGGGATGGTAACGTCTGCTTGGCACGTCCGGGGAGTGATGACTCCTCACCCCCTGTCTTACCTCTGGTGTGATTTCAGTATTTTCTGGGAGTTATTATTTTAAATATATTTTGATTGATTTCAGAGAGGAAGGGAGAGGGAGAGAGAGCTAGAAAGAAACATCAATGATGAGAAAGAATCATTGATTGGCTGCCTCCCGCACGCCCCCTACTAGGGATCGAGCCCACAACCTGGGCATGTGCCCTTGACCAGAATCAAAGCTGGGACCCTTCAGTTCCCAGGCCGACCCTCTATCCACTGAGCCAAACTGAAACTGGCTAGGCAGCATTTATTATTATTTATTATTATTATTATTATTTGGGAGGCATTATTTTTTAATGAACACTTTCTCTGAGCCTCAGCAAATGGGTCTAGATGAGAAGATTGCTACACAATAGGCTTCTGATGGGGAGGAAATGGGGGGCCTGGCCTTTCGGAGCTGCTGGAGACACGGACAGGCGGGAAGGATGCTCAGGAAAGAGCCGAAAGAAAACCCCCAGTCCTAAATCTTCCCGGTGGCTGGCTTTGCTGGCAGCGCACGGCGTAGGCGGACCCTGTGGTTGAAGTGGGGCGGGGAAATGAAGGTGCAAAAGCCGAAGGTTCCAGGTCTCCCATCCCCAGCAGACCCCAGCAGACCTTTAATTTACAAACACCTCGTGTGCCTGGAGGGAAAGGGCGGGTGTAAAGGTGTCAGGGTGTCACTGGCAACCCCGCTGGCAGCGAGCGGCGTTCTGGACCCTCCGGAGCCCTCCGCCTGCGAGTCCGTGGGGGAAGGCCGCGGGTGGGTTTGCCTCTGCAGGATGTGCTGAAGGTGCAGTCAGGAGGTCTGAGAGAGAGAGAGAAGGAGGGAGAGATTTCTCAAGAGACTGTGCCCTGGACAGTGGAAAACGCTCTCCTTTTCTGCTTCTCCTTCTCCTCCTCCTCCCTCTCTCTTTTGTAAAAATATATATTTTATTGATTTTTCACAGAGAGGAAGGGAGAGGGATAGAGAGTTAGAAACGTCGATGAGAGAGAAACGTCGATCAGCTGCCTCCTGCACATCCCCCACTGGGAATGCGCCCGCAACCAAGGTACATGCCCTTGACTGGAATCGAACCCGGAACCCTTGAGTCCAGGCTGACGCTCTGTCCATGAGCCAAACTAGTTCCGGCCTCCCTCCCTCTCTTGAAGGGCAAGGCAGGAGGGTGGGGTGGGCAGAGGGGGTCCTGGGCAAGGGGACCGCGGCTGAGAAGAGAGGGGACACCTCTCCTGGGGCCTGCGGTGTGGCCGAGGGCAGTAGGACGTAGGCCCCGTTGGGGTGCTCTGGTCCCTGCCAGGCACACCCCGAATCACATGGCTCCCGGCACCTGCACCCGGTGCAGCCTCTCGCCGGCCCTTCGTCCGCCTGTCCCTGAAGCCTTCCCCCGCCCCTTGGGCTGTGCCCTGGCTCCTGTGCCCGCACTGACTGAGCCTGCGGCTTCCTGGTGGGAGCAGGGGTGTGCGTTCTTAGACGTTGGCATCAGCTGATGTGACAGTGCCCCCCAGCCCGCCTCTGCGGGAACGGCTCCCGCTCCTCCGTCTGGTTCCTGGGCCATTTTCCCACACGAAGGGCCTCTGGCCACACGGCGTGAATCCGGGCTGGTGCATCTCGACTTCCGTGGAAAACAGAGCGGGGCTTGTTCATGGGACACCCCGCTCCTCCCCCCCCCCCCCCCAGCTGTCCTCTCCCGGCGTGAGCGGCGTCTACATTTGATAAACATTCGCAGGTGAGTCAGGGCCCGGCCGCCCCAGCCCTCAGCCGCCACCTCCTCTCCCCGCAGATCTTCAACCTCATGAAGTACGACAGCTACAGCCGCTTCCTCAAGTCCGACCTGTTCCTGAAGCACCAGCGGACGGAGGAGGAGGAGGAGGAGCCGCCCGACAGCCAGACGGCAGCCAAGCGCGCGTCGAGAACGTACAACACCTGAGCCCCGGCCCCTCGCCCCCGCCCCGGCGCCGGCGCGGCAGCTCCCCGTGGACGAGGGACCCCCTCGGGACCGTGCGCGGGGTGGGGTCGCTTTGCTGTCTGCAAGGACTGAGACGTACAAAGCCCCTCGGCGGGATCTGTGTATTTTATTAACTGCCTGGCCAGCGAGGGTTGCATGATGGCCAATCTTACGTAGAAAACACACACACCCACACACACACGCGCACACACACACACACACACACACACACACACACTGCTTTGAGGTTGAAGTTCACAAGCTCACCGTGGTGGACGGAGTCCTTAGACACTGGACACGTTTGCAGTTTGATTAAACGTCATGCAAGGCCACCAGGCAACACGTGTAGCCACCGCTGACCTTTCACGTCTGTGCCCTGCCTCTGGGGGAGGCGCCCTCCCTGCCCACAGGTTCCTGGGGCGGCCCTCACAGGCTCAGGCCACGGCGGGGGGTGAATAGGGGGTGGGTGCTGTCTGTTGGGCGCCTTTTGGGTTAAATACTTCTCTTGGGCGCGCTCAGTGCTGGGGAAAGGAACCCCTCCTCCCCAGCCTCCTGCCGGCCCCTGCAGGTTTGGGAGCTGTGTGAGCATCCTCAGAGGGCTTTTCTCTTGTGCCCGGGTCTGTCCTAGTTCCGCCCACAGCCTGTGACATTTCATGCAACACAGACCAATAGTTCTCCCTGACAGAAGTAAGACCTCCAGGAAGAAAGACGATGGGAAGTCGCTCCGGGTCCCCAGGGCAATGGGGGGTGGGGGTGGCGTTGAGTGGGGCCCAGGGCACGGCCTGTGCAGGCTCCCCGTCTCCCATGGCCTGTCTGGGACGCTTCCTGCTCTGCCCGCCCTCTGCCGCACGCACTCCGGGCTGAGTCTCCGCCCAGACAGCAATGCCGTCCCTGAAAGGCTCCTTTCGAGGGCAGCCCCGCTAGGCCAGGCGACCCCGCCAGCCCGGTCGCCTCCTCCTTACAGCTGAGCCCACCAGCCTGCTCAGTGCAGGTGCCTCTGCTGACTCTCCCGGCGCCTCAGGCCTTCCCCGCGGGTGTGCCCAGCCTCCCGCTCCCGCTGGCAGACCTGGCGCGGTGAGCCTCGGACGGCCCATGTACAGACACACGCCCGGTGCTGAGGGTGACTGACTGCTCCCCCGGCAGCCAGGACGCTCTGGAGAGGGAAGAGGCGAGTTTACTTATTCCCCGGGGGCGATGGGCTGACGACCCTCCCGCAGGGTGGCCTGTGGGTAAGGTGACCAGACGTCCCGCTTCTGGCAGTACAGTCCCGATTTTCAACAACTTGTCCCACGTCCCTCGGCCTTTAAAAAAAGTCCCGATTTTTGGTTAAAAATCGGGACGTCTGGTCACCTTGCCCGAGGGACAGTCCCTTGAGTGTCCAGCCTGGGGCAGGATGGCCAGAGAGCCATTCACTGAGAACTCAGCCACCCTCTGAGCGTCCACAGGAGCTGCCCGGGCTGGACCCCCCCAGGGGCTTCCCTCCTTCCCCGGACGTCTCAGGCCTCTTCACCCAGGACCGGAGAGGGATGCTCAGAATGACCCCCAAGGACCCTGGCATTTGAGAAATTCAGTCCTTCATGCAGAGTGGATTGATGCATTTTACTTAAAAACTAAACACTACTTCCTAAGGAACGCTAGCTAAATTTCTTTTCCCACTAAATATTTCTATAGATTTTTTACGGAGAAGAAAGAACAGAGGGAGAGAGATCAATGTTAGATTTTGATCAGCTGCCCCTATGCACACCGCCTACTGGGGATTGAGTCTGAAGCCCCCACCCCCACCCCAATGTGCCCTGCCCGGGAATCGAACCCAACCTTTCAGAGCCTGGGACGATGCTCCACCAACTGAGCCACGCCGGCCGGGGCAGACGGGTGCATTTTATTATTATTTTTTAAAATCTATATTTTATTGATTTCAGAGAAGGAGAGAAGAGGAACATCCATGATGAGAGAGAATCAGTGATCAGCTGCCTCCTGCACACCCCTCACTGGGGAAGGAGCCCACAACCCGGGCCTGTGCCCTGACTAGGAATCGAACCCTGACCTCCTGGTTCCTAGGTCGACACTCAACCACTGAGCCACACTGGCTGGGGCCGCTGATGCTTTTGCAGGAATAAAGGCTCTCTAGTTTGACTTTGAGTTCACCGGCCAGGTCGTGCAAAGCCCCGGCCCCCTCCCTCCCCCCCGCCAGTGCAGACAGAGGGTCATGTCGGGGTCCTTGGAGCTGAGCACCCTGCCTGGAGCTGCCTCTGAGAGTCTGTACCCACAGCGGGTGGGGGGCTGGGGCCTCTTTCTGGCTTCCTCCTCTCCCCAGGGGGGCCAGAACCCCTTGGAGGCGGCGGTCTGGGTGAAGGACACCGAGTTAGGCCATGGACTGTCCCCCAAGAGCAAAGCCTCTCCCTTAGGGGTGGCCTGGAAGGCCCAGGGCCAGAGGATGGGAGCCACATCGTGTGACCACAGCTGCCTCCTGCCCACCTGAGCTCGGCCACGTCCCCGCTGTCCCCCCCCCTCCTGCCTGGTCGCCTCTCCATGCGCCCGCCAGACCGAGGCCGGCCCAGCACCCAGCTCCGGAGGCCCCTGCGGACGAGAGAGGCTGAAGCATAGAGACCCCGTGCAGCAGACATATGCCCCCCAGCTTTCATGCTCCCCGGGCCCGTCCGCCCGTCCCTTTAGCGCTTATCCCAGGGGTCGGCAAACTCATTAGCCCACAGAGCCAATAGCAACAGGACCACGATGGAAATTCCTTTGGAGAGCCACATTTTTTAAACTTAAATTTCCTCTAACGCCACTTCTTCAACATAGACTCGCCCAGGCCGTGGCATTTTGTGGAAGAGCCACACGTGGCTCTCGAGACCACGGGGTTAGGGTAAAGCTGTCAGGTGCCGGGAGTTAAGGGCACACACGGCCCTGATGCTCGATGCTCCCAGGCAGCCTGCAGGTGGCTCACATGGAGGTCCTATTGGGGGTCAGGCTCGGGGAGGCCGATGGGTCGGGGGTCGGCCATTGGGAAGGGCATTGGTTACAGTTCCCAGAGGAGGGGGCCAGGCCGGGCCACATGGGGAAGCCCCAGGCCCGCCGGAGGTGGAGGGCGCGGGCGGATGTGGGCAGGAGGCTTTGCTGTGGTTTCCGCAGGAAGGCACGCCGGCGAGCAGGCTCAGGATCAGCCAGTTTGAATAAATTCCGTGGGCTCTGGGCACAGGGGCTGTCCCTAGCTGTCTGGCACCTGCTCCTGGGTCCACGGCCCCGGGTGCCTGGCCCTGGGTGAGAGGGCAGGTAGCCCAGGGGGGAGGGCCTGAGAAGGGAGGGAGCCGGGGAGCCGAGCCCTGTGGTGGCTGCTTTGCTGTGGAAGCTGGGCTCCAGCTGTGGATGGTCTCCAGGAATTAGCTGGCCCCGGGAGGCGTGGGCCCTTCGTGGTCAGCAAACCCTAGGGGCCAGGGCATCAGGAAGAGGAGACCTGCCTCCTGCCTCCTCGTTAGCACGACAGTCCCAGGGCCTCCGCCCCCCCCCCCCCCCCCCCCCCCCGCCGGTCACGGCGCCTGTGATGGGGCCTCAGGCAGAGCGTGAGTGTAACCCCCAGGGAGCCCCAGGCCCCAGCATTCCCTAATGCCTTGTTCCAGCCACTGGCACCTTTATGTTCTCTGCTAGCTCCGAAGTGTGCATCCTGCGCTTTTTAAAAATATATATATTTTATTGATTTTTTACAGAGAGGAAGGGAGAGGGGTAGAGAGCTAGGAACATCGATGAGAGAGAAACATCGACCAGCCAGGCAGCTGCCAGGCTTTCTAAGTGTAAGTTGTGGTCTGTGTCCTCCCCACGGCCCCCCGGGGATGTGCCCACAACCAAGGCACATGCCCCGACCGGAACCGAACCCGGGACCTTTCAGTCCGCAGGCCGACGCTCCATCCACTGAGCCAAACCGGTTTCGGCACACCCTGTGCTGCTTTTGCCATGCACGGAGAGCATGGCCTGGGTGACACTTTCCTCTGTGACTTTAATTACATCTCCCAGTCTATTCTGTGACCTGCCTGGCTTTCTTTCTTCCTTTTTTTTTTCTTTTCTTTTTTTCTTTTTTTTTTTTAACAGAGAGGAAGGGAGAGGGATAGAGTTGGAAACATTGATGAGAAACATTGATCAGCTGCCTCTTGCACACCCCCTCCTGGGGATGTGCTTGCAATCAAGATACATGCCCTTGACCGGAATCGAACCTGGGACCCTTGAGTCCGCAGGCTGACACGTAATCCACTGAGTAAACCGGTCAGGGTTCTTCCTTTTTATTTGTAATGATTTCAGAGAGGAAGGGAGAGGGCGAGAGAGATAGAAACATCAACGATGAGAGAGAATCGTTGATTAACTGCCTCCTGCAGGCTCCCCAGCTGGGCATCGAGCCCATACCCTAGGCCCGTGCCCTTGACCAGGATTGAACCTGGAACCCTTCAGTCCGCAGGCCGACACTCTATCCACTGAGCCGAACCAGCCAGGGCAGCAGCCAGGCTAAGTGTAAGGTGTGGTCTGCGTCCTCCCCATGGCTCTCACCATCCCTTCCCCTCGGTGGCAGGAGGTGTGGAGGGATCACCTCACCCACACACAGCGCCTCCCAAGGGCCTCGTTCCCATCACCTCACCCCCACACAGACCCCCGAAAGTACGAGACAGTGATTTTTCCCACTTCAGAGACCCAAAGACCCAAACCAGTGACGTGCCTCACACAGACACGTGCTGGCGAGAGGGAGAGCCTGAGGCTGGAACAAGAGTTGCTGTCCCGCCTCCCTTTCCCGCCCCTTCCTTGTCTGGACAGCTTCCCCCCCCCCCCCCCCCCCCAAGACCAGGGCTAGGGGAATGGGGAGTGGCCTTCTGGTAAAGGTTCTCATTGGCTCACAAAACGTATCTCATGAGAACCTGCTATATCCCAGGCCAAATACTAGAGACAGGACTGTGGGCGATGCAAGGAGGCAGAAACCTTGCCTCCAGGAGCAGCTAGCTGGT